ATATATATATATATGCCTGTCCATCCGTGCATACGGGATGGTGTATGCGCGGTAGATCCAAAAATTCTAGGGATGAAGTGATCATGAAGAACCGCGCAGTTCCCCTTCGTGATTGCAGGCCTGATTTCTCCAGTTTTCAGGCAAAATTTTGGTCTCAGGTGTACTACGATATTTCCTGGATCCGTCTCTGTGTATGAATACATATCTATCCGATATATCCCACTGATTTGTATTCTTACTGTGAAGTGTTTTCCATATAAGTATGAAGAAAGAACTGAATTTTACTTCCATTGTCGCTGTTTTTGTAAATGATATTTATGGTACCTATCATGTTGGTAAACCTGGTGTAGGTCCACCTTTTGTGGCCTTAGTCTTAACATTAACAATTTCTCCTAGACCGTCGACATCACTTTGTTTCGTATTATTATGAGGAAATCTGCTACGATTTTTCATTCGCGTAACTTCGCAGCGTTTCTGTCAACGGTCTAAGAGAAAAAGTTAATGTTGTGATGATAATGAGATGATGATTGATGATGAATGATGATTGTAATGTTGTGATGTTAATGAGACCAATTTTGTTTCTGACAATGGGCCCCTGGTGACAACCCGAGAGCCACCAACGAACGCTCATAGAATATTCCCATATATACAGACGCACACAGTGTGTGTTGTGCGTGCACTGACCAGACTGACAGAAATTTTGTGTGTAACATTGAGTGTAACGGTGTAAATAACCAATTATTACCTCCGCCAGGGGCTTGGCGGAGGTTATGTTTTCACCGGCGTGTGTTTGAGTGTTGGTTTGTGGGTTTGTTAACATGCGCGTTTCAGTTCACTTACGCTAGGTGCGCTGGCTGTAGACTTCCAAACACGCAACCACAGGCTAAGGGGCAACCACAGTCCTCCCCCACCTGCACGCTCGCACTAATCCGGATCCAATTATATATTTAATTAATTAATTAATTAGTTTTTCCACTTAATTAATTAATACAAAATTTCACATTGAGAGAATTCAGCTGCCTTGGCGGAGGTCTGTGCTCTCCGAGTGCTCTAGTTTGTGTATGTACCTGTGCGTATTTACTGAAGCGTAATTTATGAAAATCATGTGATAGTTATTAATTATGCTTATGACTCCAACAGGGCTGGACAGTTTAATAAGACATATAGTAACCGAAATAAGACCGTGCACTATATAAGCATATTACATGGCCTGATATTTTACTAATATACATAGGGGCCCCTACTATTATGGCATGTATTTTGTTTAATAATTCGTTTTGTTGTTGTTTTATGGTTGATTTTATCACATATAACATTCACGGATCGAATCATTCGATCCGTGAATCGAATCATTCGATCCATGGATCGAAATAGAGGAAGAGGGACGAGGTATGTGAAGAGGGGAGAAGGTGGTACAGGAGGAAGGAGAGAAGGTAGAGGACGAGGGAGAAGGTAGTGGGGAAGGAGGAGGGGAGAAGGGTTGGAGGTAGAAGAGGTAGAGGACGAGGGAAAAAGTAGTGGAGGAGGAGGGGGAGAAGGGGAGGAGGTAGAAAAGGGGGACAGGAAGGAGGTCGAGGAGGAGGGTAGAAGGTGGTGGGGGAGGAGGGGAACGAGGTAGAGGAGGGAGGAGATAGAGGGGGAGAATGTGGTGGAGGGAAGGGGGAGTTGGGAGATAGGGGAGAGAGGAGGTAGTGGAGGGGGGGAAGGTAGGGGAGGGAGGAGGTCGAGGATGGTGGGAGAAGGTGGAGGAGGTAGAGGAGAGGGAGAAGGTAGAAGAGGGAGTAGGTAGAGGATGGTGGGAGAAGACGGAGGAGGTAGAGGAGGGGGAGAATGTGGTGGAGGGGAGGGGGAGTTGGGAGATAGGGGAGAGAGGAGGTAGTGGAGGGGGAGAAGGTAGAAGAGAGAGAAGTTCGATGATGGTAGGAGAAGGTGGAGGAGGTGGAGGAGAGTGGGAAGGTAGAAGAGGGAGTAGGTAGAGGATGGTGGGAGGAGACAGAGGAGGTAGAGGAGGGAGGATGTAGAGGATGGTGGGAGAAGGTGGAGGAGGTCGAGGAGAGTGGGAGAAGGTAGAAGAGGGAGTAGGTAGAGGATGGTGGGAGAAGACGGAGGAGGTAGAGGAGGGGGAGAATGTGGTGGAGGGGAGGGGGAGTTGGGAGATAGGGGAGGGAGGAGGTAGTGGAGGGGGAGAAGGTAGAAGAGAGAGAAGTTCGATGATGGTAGGAGAAGGTGGAGGAGGTGGAGGAGAGTGGGAGAATGTGGAGGAAGTAGAGGAAGGGGAGAAGCTGGTGGAGAAGGGGGGGAGATGGTGGAGAAGGGGAAGAAGGGGGAGGAGGTAGAG